ACAGCCCACCAGCGTCGACAGCCCACCAGACTGTAAGCGTCGACAGCCCACCAGACTGTAAGCGTCGACAGCCCACCAGACTGTAAGCGTTGACAGCCCACCAGACTGTAAGCGTTGACAGCCCACCAGACTGTAAGCGTTGACAGCCCACCAGACTCTAAGCGTTGACAGCCCACCAGACTGTAAGCGTCGACAGCCCACCAGACTGTAAGCGTCGACAGCCCACCAGACTGTAAGCGTTGACAGCCCACCAGACTGTAAGCGTTGACAGCCCACCAGCGTCGACAGCCCACCAGACTGTAAGCGTCGACAGCCCACCAGACTGTAAGCGTCGACAGCCCACCAGACTGTAAGCGTTGACAGCCCACCAGACTGTAAGCGTTGACAGCCCACCAGACTGTAAGCGTTGACAGCCCACCAGACTGTAAGCGTTGACAGCCCACCAGCGTCGACAGCCCACCAGACTGTAAGCGTCGACAGCCCACCAGACTGTAAGCGTTGACAGCCCACCAGACTGTAAGCGTTGACAGCCCACCAGACTGTAAGCGTTCACAGCCCACCAGACTGTAAGCGTTGACAGCCCACCAGACTGTAAGCGTTGACAGCCCACCAGACTGTAAGCGTTGACAGCCCACCAGACTGTAAGCGTTGACAGCCCACCAGACTGTAAGCGTTGACAGCCCACCAGACTGTAAGCGTTGACAGCCCACCAGACTGTAAGCGTCGACAAGCCCACCAGACTGTAAGCGTTGACACCCACCAGACAGTAAGCGTTGACAGCCCACCAGACTGTAGCGTCGACAGCCCACCAGACTGTAGCGTTGACAGCCCACCAGACGTAAGCGTTGACAGCCCACCAGACTGTAAGCGTTGACAGCCCACCAGACTGTAAGCGTTGACAGCCCACCAGACTGTAAGCGTCGACAGCCCACCAGACTGTAAGCGTCGACAGCCCACCAGACTGTAAGCGTCGACAGCCCACCAGACTGTAAGCGTTGACAGCCCACCAGACTGTAAGCGTTGACAGCCCACCAGACTGTAAGCGTTGACAGCCCACCAGACTGTAAGCGTTGACAGCCCACCATACTGTAAGTCGACAGCCCCCACCAGACTTGAAGCGTCAGACAGACCACCAGGACTGTAAGCGTGACGCCACCAGCCTGTAAGCGTTTGACAGCCCGACCAGCGGTCGACCAGCCCACCAGACTGTAAGTGTCGACAGCCCACCCAGACTGGAAAAGGCGTCGACCAGCCCACCCGACCTGTAGCGTTGACAGCCCACCAGACTGTAAGCGGTGAAAAGCCCACAGATGTAAGCGTTGACAGCCCCACCAGACTGTAAGCGTTGACAGCCACCAGCGTTCGGACAGCACACCAGACTGTAAGCGTCGACAAGCCCACCATACTGTAAGCGTTGACAAGCCCACCAAGACTGTAAAGGTTGACAGACCACCCAGACTGTAGTAGCCAGGCCGCTTGTAAGCCATCTCTGGACCCCCTTTATGTGGGAGACAACAGATCTACAGAGTCCAAGCATGTGGAAGAGGATGTTGAGAACCAGCGTGATACAAGGTAGACACTGTACAGCTAGGTGTCACACACACACACACGCACGCACATATACACACACATCCACATACAGATGTGTTGCCGATGTTGCAGCTATGGGTTTAGGGCAGGCCTGGGTAAACAGGGATTACAAGACACGAGGAGGAATAAGGAGGATAGCCTTGTAGTTTCCAAGCTAGTATAGTATACGTTTTAACAGCTGGGAGGGAGGGAGAGAGGGAGGGAGGGGGAGCGGGAGAGAGGAGGGATGGGAGGGGGATTATTTGTTTGTTCTTCCCGGGAGAGAGGCCCATGGAAGGGGGGAGATGAATGAGGGATGGGAGGCCGGCAGATGAGGAGGGCAAGTGGCGACGAGAGGAGACATGAGAGGGAGAGAGGAATACGAGAGCGCAACGAGGAGCCAGGGAGAGAGTGGAGAGATGCGGAGGGTATCATCCGTCAATGGGAGAGAGAAGAGAGAGAGGGCGACGGTAAGACGAAGGAGAGAGGGCAGGGACGCGTGAGAGAGCAGGGAGGGAATGAGAGAGAGGAGCAGGAGCAGAGGCGAGGGCAGGAGAGAGAGAGGGACGTGAGAGAGGGGGAGAGAGAGAGGTGAGAGCAGAGCAGGGAGGGAGAGGTAGGGAGCGATGAGAGCACGAGGGAGGAGCATGGGGTGAGGGAGAGAGGGACGACGGGAAGAGGGAGTGAGAGCGGATTGAGGCGACAGAGACGATGAGGGAGGGAGGGCCAGGGAGAGTAGCAACTGAACGAGGGATGACTACGACAGAGAGGGAGGGAGGGAGGGAGGCAGAGGCACGAGGGAGGGAGAGAGGGAGTGAGAGCTACGAGGGAGATAGAGAGAGGAGGGGTCCTACGGGAGGAGAGGAAGAGAGGGAGGAGAAGGGAGGGTCAGGAGGGAGAGAGGGACGAGAAGAGGAGACGCATGGGGGGAAGTTAGAAGAGAGTGGAGTTTAATGCAAGAGCGTAATGAGAGAGAGGGATCGGGCAGAGAGAGAGACGGCGAGGGAGGGACTGAGAGAGAGGGAACGCTTAGGGAGAGAGGGGGGAGATGAAACCGACCGCAGGGAGCATGAGAGGAGGCGAGTAGGAGAGAGAGGGAGAGGAGAGAGAGGGAGGGGAGGGACGAGAGGGATGTGAGGGAGAAGGGTCCTCAACGTGACCGAGAGGGGGGAGAAGGAGAGGGCGGGTAGCCGAGACTGAGAGAGGGAGGGAGGGACTGTTAGAGGGAGGGAGAGAGGGGTGAGAGAGATGAGGGTGACGAAGAGAGAGGGGGAGAGAGAGAGGGAGGGAGAGAGAGGAGGGAGTGAGGGAGAGGGGGACGAGAGAGAGGGATATGAGGAAGAGAGGAGTGGAGAGAGGGAAGGGAGAGAGGGAGGAGGGAGAGAGGACGAGGGAGAGAGAATAATATTTAAAAGGTTGAATGGTTTCTATGCAATAATTAAAATAGTTTTATCTTTATCATATACAGTAGCTGTTACTTCAGAGAAACATCAGATATGATTAGCCTAACATTTTAATGAGTCCAAGTGAATGCGCTAAATCATTCAATGAGCAGCAGAGTTTGACGGAGGAATATTGGATTACAAACCAACAGATGCTAAAAACAGAGCCAAGACAGCTGTTTCAGATAAACCATCATACACAATCGGCCCACTCCTCCGACCACTCTCCCTCCCAAATACAAACTGTGCTTCCCCTCTGCCTCACCATCGTCAGTCAGCCCTGACCACTCACAGACGCCGTCATACGCACACAGACATACACACATCAAAAACAGGTGATGTTTGGCACTAGCCTGGAAACACGTCTCCCTCCCTCCAAGGGGATTTTCTATTAGTATGTAAACATTGCCAAAGCAAGAGCAAGAGACTCTCTCTCTATGCTGGGAATTGTTTGAGTGAGTGCTAAGTGCGAGTGTTGTTGTAGAGTTAGATGTACTGGGCATGACCCCTTTATGAGGTCTGTTATGAAGGCTGGAGATTTTCATGGTCAAGTCCCGGTAAGGCCTGCAACGCCACCAGGGATGTGGCTTTTGAAGAGCATATTTTTTCACAAACACTGCAATCCAGTCCCGTGTTCTGGGTTCAGCTGCCTACGTTCATGCCTGTTAGGCGTGGGGGTGACAAGCTGGGTCATTCTGATCGGAACAGGAAAGGTCGTTGGAGGAGCTGGGAGAGAAGGGGCGGGATCCGATCGTCTCGCCCCCTACTGAGGAAGTCGTCGCTGAGGTCTGTGAATCCTTGCCAGTACTTAATCGGCAGTATGTGATGACACTTCCAATTCTGATCGGTGGAAAGGAGGGTCGGGATTATGTGTTCAACAGGCACTGATTGTTAGTGCTGCGGACAGGCGGCATTCGAGGAGGATGGGGGATGCGCTTTCCTTTGATACCCCGGGAAAGCTGGGGAGTTCAAGGAGGTGGGGAAAGAAGCCATGTACAGAATTATGTGGTAAAGTGTCCCATGCACCTTCCCTGAAGGGGTGGTTTAAAACTGAAGAGGGGGGCGGGGTGTGCTTGTCCCAGGGGTGCTCCCCAAAAGGCTGTTGGCGAACATTATACAAACTGCTATGATAAGGGAGGACAGCTGACCTCCAATGGAGGAGGTAATACTGGAGCCATAGCCACCACCAGTATTGGTACACTGGATCATACTTGTTGGGGAGTGGGGGGTGTTCATCGGTGCTCAGTCTGAAACTCTGGCCACCATCTGTTTTTACAGTTGTCCCAGGTTGGTCGGGATGGTGACCTGATCACTATTGGTTCTCAGCTCGGGGAGAGGTTCTCTTACAAACTGTATATATTTGCGGCCAAAGTACAGGTTTAGTCAGAAAATACGTGTAGTGTGTTGCTTAATTTTGTGTTAGGGGGCCAGGCTAATTAGCGATAGGAAACCCGAAAGAACAAGTTATTCGGGGACAGGGGCTGTGGGATGTGCGTTGGGAATGCGGAGGGAATGTTGCAGCGAGACTAAGGTTGAGTTTGCCTATTATAAACTGGTCAACAATCTTGATCTGGTTATGAGTATATGGGGTATTCAGAGCGCGGTTGGGTTTAGTTACTGTGGAGGAGGAGGAATTGGAGTTCGTTGTTTTAATGATGTGTAAATACAGGGTTTGTAGAGTATTATTGTGTGGTGGGCCCAGACCCAATAAAGATAATTAAAGATCTATATATACTATCTCTTCTCCTCTCTCTCTTAATATCTATATCTATCTCTATCATCTCTTACTCTATCTCTTCTCTCTCTCTCTTCTTTTTTATTTTCTCTCTCTCTCTATCTCTCTCTCTCTCTCTCTCTCTCTCTCTCTATCTATCTTCTCCTCTATCTCTATCAGGGCCCATGTGTAACCCTAAAGGAACTACAGTGATATCTCCAGCCACTTTAAGAGACAGTGGAGGAACTCCATGACCAATCCACTCCGTTGCAGAGCCCTCAAGGAGGGCGATTGCCCTATCAACTGGATGGTGGTGTCCTTCCCGTGCCGAGGAACGATCTCACCACGAAGAAAACCTGGTTCCTCCTGGAGACGATGACGACCAGCACCAGAACATATCACTCCCCGGCAACAGGCATTCACGCAAGATACGGAACACTAAAGGTAGAGGAAACCATAGAAATAGAAACGATTAGACGTGAAACCAATGAATAGAAATGGTATGACAAACAGCAGACAGCTGGGATCATTCAGTGGTAGAACCAGGAAAGCATGTATATCAAATAAAACTATTCTGTTGTCTCTATATCTATCTATCTGTCTCTCTCTCTCTGTATCCTCTCTCTCTCTCTATATATATCTGTCTCTATATAGGTCTCTTTATCTCTATCTCCTATCTCGGTTCTCTCTCTCTCTCTCTATCTCTATCTTATTGTTTTATATGCTCTGTCTCTGTCTCTGTCTATATCGTCGCTCTTGTATATATCTCTCTCTTATCTACTCTCTATCCATGTTCTCTCTCTCTCTCTATCTTCTCTCCTCTCTAGCTCTCTCTCTCTCTCTCTCTCTCTCTCTGTCTCTCTCTTCTCTGTCATTCAATTCAATGTAAGGGATTTATGGCATGGGAAACGTTGTGTTAAATTGCCAAAGCAAGTTGAAGGAGATAGTAAAAAAGTGAAATAAACAATAAATATTAAACAAGTAAAATTACAATAGAAGTTTAAAAGAATAAAGAAATTAAAATGTTATGTATATATACTATGTCTCTCTGTTCTCTATGTCTATCTCTCTATCTCATATATATGTATATCTATCATATATATATGTTATATATCTATATATTATATATAGTAATATCTTATCTACTATCCTCTATATACATATGTATATATTAGATGTTACTGGTCTCTGTATCTCTATGTCTAGTAAATATTATATATTCTATCTCTCTCTCGTCTCTCTCTCTCTATATCTCTCTCTACTCTCTCTCTCTCCTCTGTCTCTGGTCTCTCTACTCTATCTGTAATTCAATTTCAATTTAAGGGGGCTTTTTATTATTGGAAGGGGAAAAGTGTGTTAAACATTGCCAAAGCAAGTTTGAAGTAGATAGTCAACAAAAGTGAAAATAAACAATAAATATTAACAGTAAAAATTACACTCAAGAAGTTCAAAAAGAAATAAAGACATTTCAAATGTCTGTATATCTCTCTGTAATTCTCGTCTACTAGATATCTATATCTCTGTCTCTCTCTTCTCTATTATATCTCTGTCTCTCTCCATATCTGTAGCTATATATATCTCTCTAATTCTCGTTCTCTATATCTGTCTATGTATAGTATATATATCGTCTGTCTATGTTCTCTCTCTCTCTCTTCCTCTCTCTCTCTCTCTCGTCTCTCTCTCTCTCTCTCTATCTCTCTACTCTCTCTCTCCCTCTCTCTCTCTCTCTTCTATCTCTCTCTCTCTCTCTCTCTCTCTGTCTCTCTCTCTCTGTCAATTCAATTTCAATTTAAGGGGCTTTATTGGCATGGGAAACGTGTGTTAACATTGCCAAAGCAAGTGAAGTAGATAGTAAACAAAAGTGAAATAAACAATAAATATTAACAGTAAACATTACACTCAGAAGTTTCAAAAGAATAAAGACATTTCAAATGTCTGTCTCTCTCTCTGTCTCTCTGTCTCTCTCTCTCTCTCTCTCTCTCTCTGTCTCTCTCTCTAGCTAGCAGCTGTACACTGTGGGGGGGAAGCAACTAACACTCTCATATTTAATGAGAGAGAGAGAGAGACCAGGGCTGCATCCCAAATGGCTCCCTATGTAGTGAAACACTTTTGCCAGGGCTCCAAAGAAAAGTAGTGCACTACATAGGGAATAGGGTGCCATTTGGGACGTACCCCAGAACACATGGTCACACTTAGTGTCAACAGCACACCCATTGTCAAACCCTGAAGAAAACATTGAGGGTTAATGATAACTGCTTTTAGCAGGTAGCTACTAACTACGGCTTTAAATATGTTTTCATGGGACTACTGGAATACTAGTTCTGTTTTAAAGATGCGGTTACTGAGATAACTGACCTGCGCCCTATTTTCTCTCTGCATCCCTCCTCCCTTCTCCACCAGATAACATGTGTACGGTGGTCTACTTTGACGACTGCGTATCCATCCGCCAGTGTAAACTATACTGTGAGTCGATGGGAGGGTCGAAGTACCGCTGGTTTCACAACGCCTGCTGTCAGTGCATCGGCCCGGAATGTCTGGACTACGGCAGCAAGGCTGTTAAGTGCATGAACTGTCTGTTCTGAAGACTGGTGGTGGATGGAACCATGGTGGGGGAGACTGGGCACCAAATATATGGACCAAACTAATGGGTGGCTCCAGGGAGGGGCTAGATGATGCTGAAGTTTCCTCAACAATAACCTAGCACCCCGTTAGTATCCCCAATAAATATTTTATTAATACATGCACGCATGTACACCATACAGTGTATTCTGAACGTATTCAGAACCCCTTGACTTTTTCCACATTTTGTTATGTTACAGCCTTATTCTAAAATGGATTAAATTATTTTTTCCCCCACATCAATCTACACAGAATACCCCATAATGACAATGCGAAAACAGGTTTTTATAAATTTTTGCAAATGTATAAAAAAAAAACAGAAATGTACGTAAGTATTCAGACCCTTTGTTATGAGACTCGAAATGTAGCTCCGGTGCATCCTGTTTCCATTGATCATCCTTGAAATGTTTCTACAACTTGATTGGAGTCCACCTGTGGTAAATTCAATTGATTGGACATGATTTGGAAAGGCACACACCTGTCTACATTACCAGTCAAAGGTTTGGACACACCTACTCATTCAAGGGTTTTTCTTTATTTGTACTATTTTCTACATTGTAGAATAATAGTGAAGACATCTCAACTATGAAATAACACATATGGAATCATGTAGTAACCAAAACAGTGTTAAACAAATCAAAATATATTTTATATTTGAGATTCTTCAAATAGCCACCCTTTGCCTTGATGACAGGTTTGCACACTCTTGGCATTTATGGTAGCGTGGCCAGACGGAAGCCATTCCTCAGTAAAAGGCACATGACAGCCTGCTTGGAGTTTGCCAAAGGGCACCTAAATGACTCTCAGACCATGAGAAACAAGATTCTTTGGTCTGATGAAACCAAGATTGAACTCTTTGGCCTGAATGCCAAGCATCACGTCTGGAGGAAACCTGGCACCATCCCTACGGTGAAGCATGGTGGTGGCAGCATCATGCTGTGGGGATGTTTTTCAGCGGCAGGGACTGGGAGTCTAGTCAGGATCGAGGGAAAGATGAACGGAGCAAAGTACAGAGATCCTTGATGAAAACCTGCTCCAGAGTGCTCAGGACCTCAGACTGGGGCGAAGGTTCACCTTCCAAAAGGACAATGACCCTAAGCACACAGCCAAGACAACGCAGGAGTGGCTTCAGGACAAGTCTCTGAATGTCCTTGAGTGGCCCAGCCAGAGCCCGGATTTTAACCCGATCTAACATATCTGGAGAGACCTGAAAATAGCTGTGCAGCAACGCTCCCCTTCCAACCTGACAGAGCTTGAGAGGATCTCAAGCGTCATACCCAAGAAAACTCGAGGCTGTAATCACCGCCAAAGGTGCTTCGACAAAGTACTGAGTAAAGGTTCTGAATACTTATTTAAATGTGATTTTTCCGTTTTTTTGTGTGTAGATTCATGAGGAAAAACCCCATTTAATCCATTTTAGAATAAGGCTGTAACATAACAAAACGTGGAAAACTCCTTAGCCACCTCAGTGAAAGGTTTCTGGTGCCATCACTGACCAAACCCGAGAAGACTGGCTGACTGGCTGACTGGCTGACTGACTGACTGACTGACTGACTGACTGACTGACTGACTGACTGGCTGGCTGACTGGCTGGCTGGCTGACTGGCTGACTGACTGACTGACTGGCTGGCTGGCTGGCTGGCTGACTGACTGACTGACTGACTGGCTGGCTGGCTGGCTGACTGACTGACTGGCTGACTGACTGACTGACTGACTGACTGGCTGGCTGGCTGACTGGCTGACTGACTGACTGACTGACTGGCTGGCTGGCTGGCTGGCTGGCTGACTGACTGACTGACTGACTGGCTGGCTGGCTGGCTGACTGACTGACTGACTGACTGACTGACTGGCTGGCTGGCTGACTGACTGACTGACTGACTGACTGACTGGGTCCAATATGTTAATCATTGGACCTAGCTGACTGAGAGGAATCTATGTGGGTCTCTTTCACCTGTGTCTGAATGTAAAAAATATTTTATTCTCACTGATTTTTTTCTGTATGATTATTATTATTGTATGTTTCATATTTTAGGTTTTTACTGCGGCTGTACTATATTTTGATAATGTATTTTTTTTTTACAATAATGGTCCACTTAATTCCCATCATATTTTTTGTCTTGGTATGCTATGTGGTAAGACAACATTTTACATTTACATTTTAGTCATTTAGCAGACGCTCTTATCCAGAGTGACTTATACTGGCCCCCCCGTGGGAAACGAACCCACAACCCTGGCGTTGCAAGCGCCATGCTCTACCAACTGAGCTACAGGGGACTTACAATTCAACCCTTTCTATTCTGACAATATAAGACTTTTATAATACAGTAGTAACCAAAATTGAGTTATTTGGAATTGTCAGAACAACGCTTTGTACACCGTATACTTTCAACATTTTAAGTGGCACTTCTAGTTTCCTCACCAAATGACACGACAATCAGGGGTGTAGATATCAGGGTGTAGCATAATCAGGGTGTGTAGCATAATCAGGGGTTGTAGCATAATCAGGGGTTGTAGCATAATCAGGGGTGTGTTGTAGCATAATCAGGGGGTTGGTGTAGCATAATCAGGGGTTGCTGTTGTGTAGCATAATCAGGGGTGTAGCATAATCAGGGGTGTGTATGGGGTTGTAGCATAATCAGGGGTTTGTAGCATAATCAGGGGTGTGTATTGTACGGTGAATAATCAGGGGTGTAGCATAATCAGGGGTTGTATAGCATAAATCAGGGGTTGTAGCATAATCAGGGGTGTGTATGGTTGTAGCATAATCAGGGGGAGGGGGTGTAGCATAATATCAGGGGTTGTAGCATAATCAGGGGTGTAGCATAATCAGGGGGTTTGTAGACATAATCAGGGGGGTGTAGCATAATCAGGGTGGTTGTAGCATAATCAGGGGCTTGGTGTAGCATAATCAGGGGTGTGTTGTAGCATAATCAGGGGTGTAGCATAATCAGGGGTTTGTTGTAGCATAATCAGGGGTTGTAGCATAATCAGGGTGTTTGTTAGCATAATCAGGGGTGTGTAGCATAATCAGGGGTGTGAGCATAATCAGGGGGTTGGTGTAGCATAATCAGGGGGGTTGTGCTTGTGTGTTGTAGCATAATCAGGGGTTTGTAGCATAATCAGGGGTGTAGCATAATCAGGGGTGTTGTAGCATAATCAGGGGTTGTAGCATAATCAGGGGGGGTGTTGTAGCATAATCAGGGGTGTTGTAGCTAATCAGGGGTGTTGTAGCATAATCAGGGGTGTGTAGCATAATCAGGGGTGTAGCATAATCAGGGGTGTTGTAGCATAATCAGGGGTGTGCATAATCAGGGGTGTGTTGTAGATAATCAGGGGTGTAGCATAATCAGGGGTGTAGCATAATCAGGGGTGTAGCATAATCAGGGGTGTAGCATAATCAGGGGTGTAGCATAATCAGGGGTGTAGCATAATCAGGGGTGTAGCATAATCAGGGGTGTGGTGTTGTAGCATAATCAGGGGTGTGTGAGATAGAATCAGGGGTGGTTGTTGTAGCATAATCAGGGGATTGAGCATACGGTTTGTAGATAATCAGGGGTTGTAGCATAATCAGGGGGTGTATCGGTGTAGCATAATCAGGGGTTGTAGCATAATCAGGGGTGTATGTAGCATAATCAGGGGTGTTTGTAGATAATCAGGGGTGTTAGCATAATCAGGGGGTTGTAGCATAATCAGGGGTGTAGATTGGTGTAGCATAATCAGGGGTGTGTAGATAATCAGGGGTGTAGCATAATCAGGGTGTGTAGATATCGGTGTAGCATAATCAGGGGTGTAGCATAATCAGGGGTGTAGTATAATCAGGGGTGTAGCATAATCAGGGGTGTAGCATAATCAGGGGTGTAGCATAATCAGGGGTGTAGTATAATCAGGGGTGTAGTATAATCAGGGTTGTAGCATAATCAGGGGTTGTAGCATAATCAGGGGTTGTAGCATAATCAGGGGTGTAGCATAATCAGGGTGTAGTAATCATGTAGCATAATCAGGGGTGTGTAGCATAATCAGGGTGTGTAGCATAATCAGGGGTGTAGATAATCAGGGGTTGTAGATAATCAGGGTGTGGTAGCATAATCAGGGGTTGTTAGCATAATCAGGGGTGTAGCATAATCAGGGGTGTGTAGCATAATCAGGGGTGTAGCATATAGGGTTTTCAGGGGTTTGTTGTAGCATAATCAGGGTGTTGTAGTAATCAGGGGTGTAGATAATCAGGGTGTAGATAATCAGGGGTTGTTGTAGCATAATCAGGGGTGTAGTATAATCAGGGTGTTTGTAGCATAGAATACAGGGGTGTAGATAATCAGGGGTGTAGATAATCAGGGTGTTTGTAGTCATAATAGGGGTTAGTTACGATAATCAGGGGTTGTAGCATAATCAGGGGTTAGTATAATCAGGGGTGTAGATAACAGGGGGTGTAGATAAAGGGTGTAGTAATCGGTGTAGTATAGGGGTGTATAATCAGGGTTTTTAGCATATCAGGTTAGTAATCAGGGTTAGTATATCAGGGGTTGATATGGGTGTGTATTCAGGGGATAGGGGTGTAGTAAATCAGGGTGTGTAATGGGGTGTGGGAGCACAGGGGGGATCCATTTCAATGAATAACAGAGTGGTAACATTGAAAATTCCATGAAAAACGATAGAATGACAAACCAAATATATATATATATATAGCAACAGCAGCCTAGAGGTAAATGGTGGTTTCCTTCCTGTCTTCTCTCTGGTGGGGGAGAGAGTGATGAACAACTTTAGGCTGTGTGTGTGTGTGTGTGTGTGTGTGTGCACTGAGGAGGCACGTCGGAGGCTTGACCACTTTGTCCAATCAGAGTGTTTTGAAAAAAATTCTACATTCACCCAGTGTGTCTGCCTTGATGTTCACAAAACTCCATGGAACCGAACCTCTCTTCGCACGGTGGAACCCAGAACGATATGTGACCACTTGGTACGGCGACTGTTCTGCCGAGGACACCCAAACCAGAGTGGCCACCACGAAGCCCAGGGAGCCTGTCGCTCTCTGGAAGTTTCTGTAGCCCTGCTTGCGATATGTATCCTATATTGGCTATTGGTTGAGACGCAGGGGCCCGTTCTAGCTTGGTATGTCAGGGTGAGCAAATTGGAAATGTGGACCAAGTTGGAGGTAATAATGCATTTAGGTTGCAGTTTATTGAGACGCATGAATATGCACCACACCAAAAGCTTGATTTTTATGGCTGTTTAAAAAAAAAAAACGACATTCCTGGAATTTTATGTAGTTATGATTTATGTTCACTACTTGGTAAATTGATTTGATAGCATGTTTAATCTATGCAAATAAATTCGATGAATAGTTCACCTCTGTTTTCTTTCATTCTGTAATAGGGTATATTGTAACCATGTCTTCAAGCTAATCAAATCAAAGTGTATTTACGATACAGCGCGTAAACTACACAATACAATGAAATGCCTACTCACAATAAAGCTCTCCTCGCAAACGGTGCCACGGTTAAGCTACAGTACATGTACTTGTATTTACATTAGGCTATAGCCTACACATATCTATACCACGTAGTCGTAGGCCTGTTAGGTTATAGGCCTACTGCGAATTATTTAGTAGTTTGTTCCTCAACTGGCCGAATTGCAGAACTTTCAGCTATCCTTCAGCACCACAAGTTGGTTCAACCTCTTTAGCGTCGTTGCGCTGTCCCTGGCGCTGTCCTATCAGCACCACGAAGGGCGCTCCAATCACTTAAAAGGACATCTCATCAAGACCTCTAGCCTAGCCTAAAAGTCCTACTCATCTTCTTCTTCTTATTACTACTACAAATAGAAGATGATCACTTCTCACCATGGTGGTCATTTAGTAAAGTTAGATCGAAGCTGAATCAATGTCTCACAAGATCACACAATGATTCATTAGTATTTTACGTAACAGAACTGAATCGAATAGCATAGCGTGGTAGACCTATAACACCTCTTCATAGTGTGATTTTAGGATGGTTTAGCTGAAGCTGAATAGTCATTTTTTTTCTTATTCCCATGAGCCGAACCTCAACAGAGCCACTAGCCAGGATGAATCCAGTCTACCACTCTAATCTAATCTAGGCAGGATGATGTAACTCAACAGAGCCCCTAGCCAGGATGATGTAACTCAACAGAGCCACTAGCCAGGATGATGTAACTCAACAGAGCCACTAGCCAGGATGATGTAACTCAACAGAGCCACTAGCCAGGATGATGTAACTCAACAGAACCACTAGCCTGGATGATGTAACTCAACAGAGCCACTAGCCAGGATGATGTAACTCAACAGAGCCCCTAGCCAGGATGTATGCTTTGATTTGAAACAGAATAGAAGAAAGGCTAATAATCTGTTATTAATTTAACCTCTAATCTTAGTTTTACTGTGACAGGAATCCAGTCTCCCACTCTAATCTAATCTTAGTTTTACTGTGACAGGAATCCAGTCTCCCACTCTAATCTAAACTTAGTTAAGTTTTACTGTGACAGGAATCCAGTCTCCCACTCTAATCTTAGTTTAGTTTTACTGTGACAGGAATCCAGTCTCCCACTCTAATCTTAGTTTAGTTTTACTGTGACAGGAATCCAGTCTCCCACTCTAATCTAATCTTAGTTTTACTGTGACAGGAATCCAGTCTCCCACTCTAATCTGAGTTTTACTGTGACAGAAATCCAGTCTCCCACTCTAATCTGAGTTTTACTGTGACAGGAATCCAGTCTCCCACTCTAATCTGAGTTTTACTGTGACAGGAATCCAGTCTCCCACTCTAATCTGAGTTTTACTGTGACAGGAATCCAGTCTCCCACTCTAATCTAATCATAGTTTTACTGTGACAGGAATCCAGTCTCCCACTCTAATCTAATCTTAGTTAAGTTTTACTGTGACAGGAATCCAGTCTCCCACTCTAATCTTAGTTTAGTTTTACTGTGACAGGAATCCAGTCTCCCACTCTAATCTTAGTTTAGTTTTACTGTGACAGGAATCCAGTCTCCCACTCTAATCTAATCTTAGTTTTACTGTGACAGGAATCCAGTCTCCCACTCTAATCTGAGTTTTACTGTGACAGGAATCCAGTCTCCCACTCTAATCTGAGTTTTACTGTGACAGGAATCCAGTCTCCCACTCTAATCTAATCTGAGTTTTACTGTGACAGGAATCCAGTCTCCCACTCTAATCTAATCTGAGTTTTACTGTGACGGGAAGCACATCAGTTCCTAGAGAAACACAGCTGTTATTACAGCATTCTGCTACACAGGTGTTCAGCAAGTGAACCAGAGTGTCCTGCATCCTTCTCGGGAAGAGGGGGAAAGGGGGAGTTTTTTTAAAAACTGACTGATGCCAATGTTTTTACTGCTGCACTTAACTACAAACACACACATTTGTTTTACTATTGTTGTAGGGACCAAACAATTGATTAACCTTTAAAATCCTATTTTCCCAAAGCCCTCAACCGAACCCTAAACCTTAACCTGGTGGGTCCTCTGGTGGTCCTCTGTAGCTCAGCTGGTAGAGCACGGCGCTTGTAACGCCAAGGTAGTGGGTTCGATCCCCGGGACCACCCATACACAAAAAAATGTATGCACGCATGACTGTAAGTCGCTTTGGATAAAAGCGTCTGCTAAATGGCATATTATATATTATTATATTATAACCTCTAACCCTAAACCTAACCCCTAAGCCTAAAATAGCCCCTTTCCTTGTGGGGACCAGCGAAATGTCCCCACTTGTCCGAATATTCTTTGTTTTACTATCCTTATGAGGACTTCTGGTCCCTACAATGATAGTACAACTAAAACACACACACACCCACCCTCTCTCTCTCTCTCTATCTATCTATCTCCTCCTGGAAAGGGTGGAGCCTTTCCATCTCCTATTTTTAGTGCAAGTGAAGTTTGCAGATGGTTGGTTGTCCTGCCTGCCTGCCACTGATGCTGTGCCCAATTGGCGAGGAACAAACACTAGTCTGTGAATCTGCCAACCACACAATGACGCTTTGTTCATCTTTATTGATATTGAGTCACGCGACCATGTTACAGCTGGTAGAGGCTGTTAGATCTGTGGAAGTAGCGTCAAATAGACAATGGAAGACACAACGGAAGACACAACGGAAGACACAATGAAGACAACCTTTGTGTAAAATCTGTCAGCCATTTTTACATTAAAAAAAACATTTTTTAGTCATTTAGCAGACGCTCTTATCCAGAGCGACTTACAGGAGCAATTAGGGTTAAGTGCCTTGCTCAAGGGCACATCGACAGATGTTTCACCTAGTTGGCTTTCATCATGTATCTGATCAAATATAAATTCATATGTAGATAGTTGAATACACTTTTTTATTTTTTGTTGTTGATAAAGTTGGTAAAACTGGACTTGTAGTTGTAGTTTCCAATGATTGCACTCTAAACTACAACTCCAATAAAGCACCTATGGCCTCACTGCGCAGACTCAGGTCTGTTTATTTGGTACTCAAACAGCTAGCAGGAAGCCCCGCTAAGGAATTGACCAGAACAGGTTAGTTGGCAAAGTAATATGTCTGATCCCATCTCAAAGTCGAATTTTAATAAAAATGGGGTTATATACATTCGAGTACTTTTAGCTACCTCATGTCGATTTATTCTCATGAATCTGTGAGCAATATTACCCGCGGGTGGCTGATAGCTAAAGTAAGCTAGGTAGCTATCTGGCTAGCTAACAAATCAGCTGTACAGTAACAGGAGCAGTTAGCATCTGGGCCTCCATTCAAAGCCGAGTGGCTAGCTACAACTTTGATATTTTTAATGAGTAGTTTAACAAGTTTGCACATCCGTTTAAGTCTGTTGTATTACGTTTGCTTGCTCCTGGCTGTGCCTTAGGTCAGCTACTTGTGGTGGTTGTATTGAACGGGAGTCATAATGCTTTATCGTCAACACGGGTTATCTCCATGGGAGGATGACGGGCTGACCCCAGTGATAGTTGGGAAATGAACCACATTCGATTTTTTATCTACATATTAGTTTGCTAGGGCCTGTATCTTGCTGCACAACTAGTGTTTGAAGGCTATATGGGTTAATGGGAGTTGTTTTGAAACGATACATTGGACTAGGTATCTAACAATTTAGACATTGGGAACCCCTTAGAAATGTGTGGAGGTGTGTCAGTCAAAGGGAGTAGCCACCATTTCCACCGCTAGATCCATTTCATTTCCTTTTATAGTTTGGTTTCATAAAAAGTGACCTTTAAATGGTAGGTAGCGTTATTGAACTGTAGGAGAGAACAGCCTGGTTAGGTGATTTGAGATACATTTAGTGGTGTCTGTGTGA